TCATTATTAGTCATTTAATATTGAACAACAATCACTAATTATTATATAATCAAATAATTATATTAATCAAATCTGTTATTTATTATTCGGTACCTGTTTTCTATTATTCATTACCTGCTTTTTACTATTCACTATCAACTTTTCGCTAACCACTAATTGCTACTCGTTACTACTAATTACTAATTGCTACTCATTACTACTAATTGCTAATTACTACCCATTAATATTATTTATTATCCACTACCCACTAGTCGTTAAATTTTAACTTATATACCAAGCAAATCCTTAAAGAGATGAAAAATAGAAATGGAGGGGCTTCATCACCCCCTTCATCTCCCTCCCCTTTCATTAATGAAGAAATCTAAACAAGGGGAGGGAGACATTTTTCCTCGCTTTGCTCTTATTCCCCTTCGAATACATCAATCCAAACACAATGTTAAAGTCAAGATCTTGGACTTAAATTGTCAACTTAAATTTAAATTGTATTCCTCTCTTAGGAATCAATCTTTAGTTGTAAAGTCTAACAACTAGTTCATCTTCAATAATGCGTCATCTCAGAGTAATCCCCTATACGCGAGATGAGAGAGAGAGGAAGAGAGAGAGAGCGAGCTCGCGGATATCGTTCACAGGCGGGACGGTCATCAGAGGGTAATGAGAAAGAGAGATATCGAGGAAGAAGCCGGCAACGGAGGATCTCACCAGCTGGTATGAGGCGAACGGCGATTGATTATGGGCAGGATAAGAAATCCCAGTTTGGTGGAGCCTATAACAAAGGCTTGTATAACCAAGCTACTCCATTCTTTTTCACAAACTTCCCCGAAGAATGGAGCTATGCAGAAATGTGGAGGACCTTCTCACAATTTGGAAGGGTTTATGCCGTATATAGTCCGAGAAGGAGGAACAGAAACGGTAATAGATTTGGCTTTGTGCGTTTTCTGGATGTCAAAGACAAAAAGGAGCTGGAAAGAAAACTGGATCAGATCTGGGTTGGGAACCGTAAACTGTGGGTGAACATTCCACGTTATGATGCTTTGCAAAAAAGGGAGATGGAGCAGAGTAATCCCCAAGGAGAGGACCTGAGAATTCCTCTAAATCCTTGCCCAAACATACAAGGAAGAAGCTTTGCCGAGGTGGTAAAAGGGTCGCGAGGCAGAGATGATAGAATGGTTTGGCAAGAGAAAGGACCAGGGGAGAACTGGCAAGGCATGGAGTATAAGGTAAACTCCGAAGATAGTGCATGGCTGGAGGGAACTTATGTGGGGTCGGTCCACTCGGTTGAGATGGTCAGGAACCTACAGGAGAAATTCTTCATGGAGGGTTACTTTCACTGTCGAATCCGAGCCATGGGGGGAAAGATGGTGCTGCTGGATTGTGAAGACAAAGAGGAGTTGAAGGACCTAGTGGAGATGGCATCGGAATGGCTAGGACAATGGTTCGAAGAGGTCCAGCCGTGGTCACCAAATATGATAGCACAGGAGAGGTTTGTGTGGACCAGATGCCAAGGAGCTCTGCTGAATGTTTGGGGCTCGGACTTCTTTGAAAAAATGGGTTGTTCATGGGGGAAGTTCATATGCTTGGATGATAATACAAGCAAAAAAAAGAGGTTTGATATTGCAAGAATGCTGATATCCACACCAATAATGGATACGATATCTGTTAGGCGCCAGATTAAGATCAATGGCTCGATTTATAATTTAAGGTTCTCGGAGGAGGAGTTCACCAATAGCTTCTTCTCATTAAAACAGGATTTTATTCCTTCCTTCCAGAGTGACTCTGAAGAAAACGAATCTTGGTCGATTGAAAGCTCCAAGAATGATCATGATTTCCAGAATGTAGATGGAGAATGGCAACCCGTGGATGAGCCCGGAGGTGCAGAGGGGGGAGAAGAAGATGTGGAGAGATGTACAGGGGAGACCAACGGTAAATTCCAGCTCCAAAACCCACATGATGGTGACAGGACAGTTGATGAAGTGCCTGACAGTGTAGGAA